TCCCCCTCCTCCCTCAAAAATCCGTAAACTACAGACTAATTGGCTAATGGTGCCTGCGCTGAACAAAAGCGCAACCATCCACCATTGTTCTTGTCCCCCCGTGACCTCCTGCCCGTCCCGTTGGACCCCATCCCTCCCCCCTTCCCTCTCTCCCCCTCCTCCCTCAAAAATCCGTAAACTACAGGCTAGCAATTGGCTAATGGTGCCTGCACTGAACAAAAGCGCAACCATCCACCATTGTTCTTGTCACCCCGTGACCCTCCGTCCATCCCGTTGGGCCCCATCCCTCCCCCCCCTTCCCCCCCTCCCCTCCCCTTCTTCTCCTTTCTACAGACCATGTTTCACATTCCCATTGCCATAAACATGCCCCCCAACCGAGTGGCCATTCCCCATGCTGTCCATGCTTGCGTCGCTGCAGGATTCCCCCTCCTTGTGCTGGCTGTCAGTGCCTTCCGCTTCATTCGCAATCTGCCCGGAGGCATTGCGCTCTCCGCTATTGTGGTCACTGCCATCTTCATCTGGAAGAGATTCATCATCTTCCTCCTCCTCCTCTTCCTCCTCATCGTCTTCGCCTTCTGCTTCCTCCTCCTCCCCCTCCTCCTCCTCCTCTGCTTCCACCTCCTCTTCCTCTTCCTCCTCCTCCCCGTCCTCCTCCTCCTCCTCACCCTCTTCCTCTCCCCCCTCCTCTCCGTCCTCGTCCTCGTCCTCTTCGCTTTCACTTTCGCTCTCCATGTCTCCCGCTTCTCCTGGCCACGATTGACCATCTGAATTATCACCATCCTCGTCTCCATTACCCTCTTCCTCTTCGTCATCGCTGCCCTCTAAGCTGCTGCTGCTGCTGCTGCCCCCGTCGGCCTCCCAAATCACACCATTCCCTATTCCATTTAACAAGGATAACCCTCCCCCAGGTAACCCCCTTATTCCGTCCGTCATTCCGTTTGGCATCTCGATCCCATTTGCCAATCCACTCAAACTAGCAACAGAAGAGGTTGACGCTCCCCCATTTTCCGTGCGATGCCGATCGGCCACATCGCCATTCACCAGACGTTCAGCTGCCGCCACTGCTTCCGCACTTCGCAGCTCCGCAAATCCAAGTGCTAGATCCTTAATCAACGTTTTCGAACATCCACGACCACCAATGTGCAAAGGCCACACAACAGAATATGTCAGACATGCAAAACATGTCCCAATCTTCAACGCATACACAACCAACGATTCAAGTTGCAACGGCCCGCTGCAATGCTCGGGCAGATGAGACAGCGATCGAGAGAGAGCAACATAACAATACTTGCAAAACTCCACACACTTGCGCCACACAACAGAATACGTCAGACATGCAAAACATGTCCTCCCAATCTTTGACGCTTGCACAACCAACGATTCAAGTTGCAACCGCCCGCTGCAATGCTCGAGCAGATGAGACAGCGATCGAGAAAGAGCAACATAACAATACTTGCAAAACTCCACACGCTTGCGCCCCATCTCCTCTCCTTGCAAAACTCCACACACTTGCACCCCAGCTCCTCTCCTCCAACCCATCTTCAAGAAAGCACTCCAAAGAGATTCGTCAACCATTAAACCCCACCCACATCCAGTGCAGCTCACCAGCAGCGTGGGGTCCCACCACCGACATTCACCAACCCCTAAATCCCACCGGTACCCCCACCAGTACCTCTGCACCTATATTTTCAACAGACCCATCAGCGTACTCCATCTTAACCTACTGTGGGCGACAATAAGCCCAAACGCAGGGAAAATTACTGACGGATGCCGCCGTCACTGTGCACCCCGCACTTTATTTGCTGTCATTTACAGGGGGGCCATTCCCAGGGTTGGGGGGCACCAACCCCAGACACGGGTCGGCAACCCTCTACCTAACCCATGTGGATGAATCATGCACATTGCACAGCTGTAGCTATACTCGTAAACAGGTCATGAGTTCAATCCTGATGAAACAGACGGAGGCATTGTTGTACCCATATTCCTTAAAAAAAAAAGAAAAAAAAAAAGAGAAAAAAAAAGAAAAAGAAAGAAAGAAAGAAAGAAAGAAAGACAGGGTAGCGGGAGCACATACCCAAGAAAGAAAGAAAGATTGACAGGGTAGCGGGAGCACATACCATCTCGACATGTACGGAGTTATTCCCATTACTTAAGACTTCAATGTTGAAATTGTCGCGTGCATCGCGCGACTGTCTCTGTTGATCCGATCCCCACCCCATAGAAAAAACCCACCAGGCCAGCACAAGAGGCAACCAGATCAGACAGACAGACAACAGACACAGAGAGAGAGAGAGAGAGAGAGAGAGAGAGAGAGAGAGAGAGAGAGAGGTTCCTTCTTTCCAGCACAATCCCAAGTGATAATAATATCATAATATATGTTATCTTCATAGCAGATGCACCTGCCATCAGTCGCAACCATCAGGCTACGGCACGATCACATCTGGCGTTTTATGGCACGGCGACGTCTGATGCTTTAATGATAGCAAATGGATCTGAGGGATTCTCACGTCAACAGTTAGGATGAGCAAGGTCACACTCGAGGCTAAAAAGAAATTCCATCAACTATCGCTACAACAACGAATTGCACTTGTGTAACTTAATGTCAATCACTAAATGACATGCCGTTCAAATGCCAGCTAGAAGTCAGTTAAACAGCAGTTAACTGACAATTAAATGCAGTTTGATGTTTTTACTTAAATGCGCTCAATCCCATTTCGGGTGCACGCGCGTGTCAAAAAAAGAGCAACCGCCCCTGGTGGGGGCCCGCGCGTGGAGCGGAACATGTGGGGCGATGGTCTGCAAGAAAAAAAAAGGGCGGAGGGGGGGAGTGTTTTCGGAGGGATTGGGTGGGTGGTGGAGAGGGTTCGAGCGTTGTTTCGGGGGTTTGGTAGCTCTCTCTCTCTCTCCGTGTGTGTGTGTGCTTTAGATTTTCCCCACAACAGCCCCAATTCCACCCAGGTGAATAGATTCAGAATCAAAGCAGTCTTTATCCTATTGCAGAGAACGAGAGCATTTGAGATGTCCAACATATTAAAGCAATTTTATAATTAGTGTGTGTGTGTGTGTGCGTGCGTGCGTGCGTGTGTGTATGCGGCTGTGCGTGTGCGTGTGCGTGTGTGTGTCTGTGTCGGGGTTAAGGTGGATTATCACTTACAGTGTAAGCAGTTAGGGGTTCTTCAGACTGTCGAGGGTTCAGCCTCCTGATGAATCAGTCGGTGAAACTCCGACGAAACAGTTGGTCACAGCCCCTCCCTCGTTTTTTGTCCTCTTCTCCCTCTCTGCCTACGGTTTACCAAGCAGCTGTGTTTGACGATATATGTTGTCAAACTAGGAATCAGAGCGCGAAGGCGAAAAAAAGCAAAACAAGGAAAGGAAAAGAAGGTAGGAAGGACAGCCCCACCTGTTCATCACCTCTTACATACAAGGCCAGCCACATGGATGACAGGTTGAGCGCTGGCTGCCCCCATCCCCATGTGTCACAAGAACCCACTTGCACGCAGCCAAAAGGCAAAAAAGAGGTAAAGAAAAGGATGAGGAAACCAGACCTCACAGAGGCAAGAGAAAGCGAAACGGATCCCATCAAAGAAAAGACAATGGGAAGAAAGCAAATGACACATCCCACACATAAATCAATTGCCACTGCCACTACAAGATTCCACATATTCTTTTATTTTATTCTTTCTTTTTTCTTGTTTTCTTTTTCATTTCTTCAGAAATTTTGTACTTCTTTTCGTTGTTGTTTTTTTCCTTTTTGCATATAATTTTAGGTTAATTTGACAAGAATTGCGATGTGACCTTGACGCAAAAGTTGCTCAGTTTTTTTTTTTTTTTTTTTTTTTTTTTTTTTTTTTTTT